ACGCACGTGGAGGATTATCTCCTCTATTATTATTAAAATGTCTTTGAGGACAAAGCCTGGCTTTTCCTCAAGTGTGTGTCCTGCATGATCTCCAGCATGTGCCATGCACAAGACAAGTTCCATAGGCATTTGTTAATGGAATTAATAAAAATTCAGATTCCTCTCTGCCTATAAATATAATTTCAGAGCTTTAATCATCAGAGAACAGTTTTTTTTTAAGTCTTATTTATTTATTGTGGGTGGGCAGAGGGAGAGAGAGAATCCCAAGCAGGTTTCTTGCTGCCAGGGCAGAGCCCGACACAGGGCTCAATCTCACAAACCATGAGATCACCACCTGAGCCGAAGTCAAGAGCCGGATGCTTAACTGACTGGCTCATCTAGGCACCCCAATTAGAGAGTAGTTTTATTTTTATTTTTTTAATGTTTACTTATTTTTGTGAGAGAGACAGAGACAGACAGCATGTGAGCAAGGGAGGGGCAGAGAGAGAGGGAGACACAGAATGTGAAACAGGCTCCAGGCTTTGAGCAGTCAGCACAGAGCTCGATGCAGGGCTCAAACACATGAACCATGAGATCATGACCTGAGCAAAAGTTGGATATTCAACTGACTGAGCCACCCAGGTGCCCCTAGAGAGTACTTTTTGGTGACTAAGAGAGTATGTGAGTATACAACACTTAATAATTTCAACATTTAGGGGCAAATCCAAATGTTACAAAAGAAGTTAGGTAGTTGACAAAACTACAAAAGAAGTTAGGTAGTTTAACTTCTACCTGGAACAGTATGCTGAAAATATTATTTTCTTTTCCTTTTTTAAAAAAAGAATTTTATTTTTATTTTTTAAAATTTATTTTGAGAGATGGAGAGAACACGAGCAGGGGAGGGGCAGAGAGAGAGGGAGAGAATCCCAAGCAGGTTCCACCCTGTAAGCACACAGCCCGACTTGGGGCTGGAATTCACGAACTGTAAGATCATGATCTGCGCCAAAATCAGGAGTCAGATGCTCAACCAACTGAGCCACCCAGGCACCCCAAAAAGAGTCATAAATTTATTTTTATTTATGTATGTATTTATTTAGTATTAAAAATTTTAAAAATGTTTATTTATTTTTGAGAGAGTAGTAGCGGGGGAGGAGCAGAGAGAGAGGGAGACACAGAATCCAAAGCAGGCTCCAGTCTCTGAGCAGTCAGCACAGAGCCCGACGCGGGGCTCGAACTCACGAACCATGAGATCATGACCTGAGCGCAAGTCGGATGCTTAACCGAATGAGCCATCCAGGTGTCCCAAGAGTTTTTTTTTAAATAAGAATAAGAATTAATAAATTTTAGAGGCTTTAAGTCTCAGAAAGGTTAATAACTTGCCTGCTTACATAGATCTTAGCTAGTGACGTAGTTGGGGTTCAAACCTGGATCTGGCTGTTGTTCTCTCAGTGAAAACAATATGGCAGAAAAGAACGTTATATTTACTGACTTTGTAAGTGAGCCTAAGACACGGGGCATAATAGAAGAGATTTCCAGTGGACCCATCCTTCAGCAGTGCCTCTCTTGCTAAACATATTACCTAGCTACTTAACCTTTTTCCAAAACCTGAGACCAAATCAAAATATTCAATGTATTAGGAATATGAGAAAAAGTAGAACAACAAGATCATTTTATATAACTTAAACCTTTGTCTCTGAGATTAGAGCCATCTAAAATTCTTAAATAAATTAAGAGAATTTTAAGTGGCTATTCAGTAATCTACATTCAAGATATTCTACACCCAGATATATATGCCAGAGAGTCTCTAAGGTATGTATTTATCAGTGTCCTCATTTTATAGATAAAGGAAACCAAAGATAGCTTCTTTTACTATTAAATGAATTATACTGTATATGTAAATCACTTACATGCTTAGTACATATTAAGCCATCTATTAAGTACATCTGTAATTATTACCACCATTATCATCATCATGAATAATTAGCAATAGGTAACATTCCATAAATTGACCAGTATCATCAATAAAATAATAAATGTCATCATTAAAAAATTTTTTTTAATGTTTATTTATTTTGAGACACACACACACACACACACACACACACACACACACACACAGCATGAGTCGGGGAGGGGCAGGGAGAGGGAGACATGGAATCTGAAATAGGCTCCAGGCTCCGAGCTGTCAGCACAGAGCTCCAGGTGGGGCTCAAACTCAGGAACCGCCAGATCATGACCTGAGCCGAAGTTGGATGCCCAACCGACTGAGCCCCCCAGGCGCCCCATAAACTTCATCATTTTAACAGCTGAAATAAAAACCTGTCACTTAAAAAAAATGTTCATTTATTTATTTTGAGAGAGAGAAAGAGCAGGCAAGGGGCAGAGAGAGGAAAAGAGAGGATCCCAATAGACTCTGTGCTGTTGGCACAGAGCCCACATGGGGCTTGATCTCACACACTATGAGATCATGACCTGAGCTGAAATCAAGAGTTGGAGCTACCAACTGAGCTATCCAGGCACCCCAAAACCTGTCAAGTTTTTTTTTTAATGTTTCTTTACTTTTGAGAGGAAAAGAGAGACAGTGCAAGCAGGGGAGGGCCAGAGAGAGGGGGAGACACAGAATCTGAGCAGGCTCCAGGCTCAGAGCTGTCAGCACAGAGCCTGATGGGGGGCTCGAACCCATGGAACTGCTAGATCATGACCTGAGCCGAAATCGGATGCTTAACCAAGTAAGCCACCCAGATGCCCCCAAACCTGTCAAGTTTTGACCAGACTGTGAAGTTTGGAGGATGCTTCCTCCTCTCCACCTAAAGACTGGGTCTTGGTCATGGGTGTTTCACAGTAACAGTGCCACCTTTTTTTTAAAATTAATTTTCATTTGTTAAATTAAGACTTTATTTGGAGCATTTTAAGGTTCACAGCAAAATGGAGAGGAAAGTACAGAGATTTCCCACACCTCTTACCCCCACACATGCGTAACATTTCCATCATGAACATCCTCACCAAAGTAGTACATTTGGTGCAACTGATGACTTGCGTTGACACATCATTATCACCCAAAGTCCATAGTTCCCATCTGGGTTCACTCTTGGTGTTTTATAGTGTTGTTTTTGTTTTTGTTTTTGTTTTTGTTTTGAGAGAGAGAGAGCTGTGTATGGAGCAGAAGAGGGGCAGACAGAGGGAGACAGAATCCCACACCACTAGGTGTGGAGCCAGACAAGGCTCATTTTCACCACTGTGAGATAATGACCTGAGCCCAAATCAAGATTATGATGCTTAACCCACTGAGCCCCCAGGTGCCCCTCGTTGTTATATATTCTATGGGCTTGGACAAATGTATAATGACATGTATCCATCATTATGGTATCAGACAGGGTATTTTCATCGCCCTAAGAATCCTCTGTGCTCTGCTTATTCATCCCTCTCCCTTCTCCAACTCCTGACAACTATTGATTTTTTTTTTTTACTGTCTCCATAATTTGCCTTTTCCAGAATGTTATACAGTTGGAATCATATAGTAGGTTGCCTTTTCAGATATGCTTCTCTTAGTAATGTGCGTTTAAGTTTCCTCTAGGTCTTTTCTTGGCTTGATACCTCATATCCTTTGAAGCGCTGAGGAATATTACATTGTCTGGATAGATCACAGTTTACTCATCCATTCACCCACTGAAGGACATTTGGGTTGCTTCCAAGTTTTGGTAATTATGAATAATGCTTTTATTAGCATCCATGTGCAGGTTTTGGGGTGGGCATATTTTTAACCCCTGCAAATATCAAGGGTTGGTATTGCTGAATTATATAGTTGGAATATTTTTAATTTTATGAGAAACTGACAAAGTATCTTCCAAATGGTTGTAGCACTTTGCATTCCTGCGAGTAATGAGAGTTCCTATCTGTCACATTTAGAGTTTTTAAGTCTTCCAGGTTTTATTTTAGCAGGTTTGCATTGGTATTTCATTATTTTCTGCGTGGCCTTTTGAGGAGTTGATCCTTGAACAGGCTCCACCCTCCTCCTAGAGGGGCTGGGCCCCAATTTGTGTTTCACTAGGTCCTAACTGTTTCTGGCCTTTGGGTCTTAAGGCTAACTTAGAGGGGAAAAGAATAGGGAAAAGTAGGGAAGGCTCTGGAACCTCTCTGAGCTGGCATCCTGGGGGGACCTTATGCCAGAAAGAGGCTTTACCAAGTGCTACTCTGAGGCCAGGCAACATTCAGCGTTAGCTCCCTAGCAGATGTTAGAGAGTGCTGACAGTGGGAAAGCAAGAAGTAAAGACGTGTCCAGATAATACAGTACACCTGGCGCCCGAGGTGGCTCTATTTGATTTTATTTTTGGTGGTCAGAGGCCAGTAGGAAGCGCTCCTTTAGCCCCTGGGAATTGCTGGCCCTGGATTTTCGTTCAAACCTTTCACTGGAACGAACCCTTCTCAATGGATTCTCAAAGGCACAGTCTTCAGGGAAAGGGCTTGCGTGGGACTGCTGTGAAAGTAAGGCAATGCTGGCAGGAGGAAGTGGAGCAGAAACCAGCCCACGAAAGGAAAAGCGATCGTCTTACATTTAGGACACTTGATCAGGTGTGTTAAATGGCATTTCAGAAGAAATCTGAAAGCTATTGGTTTACTAAAGGAATCAAGTAAAAGTGTCCCGGGTGGGGAAACCTCCTTAAGGGATCAAATTCGATACAATGGGTATTTCTCTCCGAAAAACTTTAAAAGCCGAGAGGCCCTTCTGGTTCCGCCCACCGACTCCCTTCCGCACCGCCTGGGACGGAGCCACTCAACCACCTCAAAAACCCGGAGAAGGCAAATCCAGTCAAGGCCTGGGAGGGGTGGGCTCCGGCCTGCCTGCACACTGGGCATGCGCAGGGGGTGGGCCGCCAGGTCGTCTAAGGGAGCCGTGACGAGTCCGGAAGCGCTAGCTAGCGCCCCTCCGCTCGCGAACTAGTTTTGTTCCGCGTCCTCTGGACAGGAGCTCTTCGGGCAGAAGCCCCGGCAGGACCAACCCGACCCCAGCCAGCACCGCAGCAATGTCCAGCAACAGCTTCGCTTACAGTGAGCAGTCCGGCGGAGGGGAGGCGACGGAGCTGGGTCAGGAGGCGACCTCGACCATTTCCCCCTCCGGCGCCTTTGGCCTCTTTAGCAGCGATCTGAAGAAGTGAGGAAGAAGGTTTGGGGTGTGGGGCTGGGAATGAGGAGCTGGGGACCCCGGAGGAGCGGGCCACGGGTTTGGGATTGGACCCCAGGAAAGGTGGGGGCGTTTTGAGACCGCACGGGAGCCGGGCGGTAGCGTTTCCCGCTGGTGGGTGGGGTTGAGTCAGTTGGGAGTGGTGGGAGTTGTGGGGGAGAGTTTGGAGTGTGTGTAGGGGTCCCTCGTCGTTGTCAAACTTTAGCGAGGAAAGAACCGTTTGGAGAGCTTCAGGTCTCATCCCCAAGACTCTCATTAAGTTGGTCTGTTCTGGGGCACCGGAATCTGATTTTTGAACAAACACTTCTAGCTTACTTAATATTTGCTGGATCAAATTTGGGAGAATTGGGCGTTATTGTGAAAAAGGTGTTTGAGGAGTTGAGAGGACGCGTTAGAGTGCTTGTTGCGTATGGGAAACTCTTCTCTCACTCTGGAGTGTAGGAGCGTGGAGGTAGGTGTTTTAGGCGCTTTATGAATGGACAAACTATTTTATACGAACATTCGTGTTTTTGGACAATATCCTTTGCATTACAAGGGAAAAAAACCCCGCAATACCAAAGTAATAAGCATATAAGTAGAGAAAAGTATGACTGTGAACAAATCTTTAGGTTTTACAAATTAATAACGAGTTTGAGTTTATTATTTATTTTTAATTTTTTAAAATACTTATCTTTGAGTGACACAGAGAGACAGCATGAGCGGGAGAGGGGAAGAGAGAGGGGGAGGCACAGAATCCAAAGCAGGCTCCAGGCTCTGAGCTGTCAGCACAGAGCCTGATGCAGGGGCTCGAACCCACGAACCATGAGATCATGACCCGCGTCCAAATCAGACACTTAACTCATTGAGCCACCCAGGCGCCCAAATAATGTGAATTTTAAAGACAAATACTAAACAGTGTGCATTTAGTTTTGTAAAAGGAAAAATGAGTACCACGGAAAAATGGAAGGAAAACACCCCCAAACTTTTTGGTGGGAGGGATTTTAAACTTACAGAATTCTGGTAACTTTAAATTTTCTTGTAATCATTTTTACATTTCTCTTATTTTTAATGTCTCAGTACTAGACTATGGTCACATAATAGGCTGTCACTAGATTCATGCTAAATTAAGCTAAAGTAGCTGTGCTGATGGCCTTGTAGATGTCAGAAGAGTATAATTTAAATTTAAATTTTTACTAACAAGAACAGGCAGTCTGGAAGGTTGCTAGTAGTTGAAATTGGGTTTACATTTTGACTGTATTAAGCTGACTGAAATCTTATATACAGCATGTGGAGTACAGTTTTTTTCCCCTTGTTCTCAGGTAAGATAATTTCTCTTCATTTTTCATTCAGTGCATTTAGAATGATGGATTGTTCTAATGGGGAGCTTGTTGCAGTTGCACACTTCTGTTAGCAAAATGTTCAGCTGGTGAATTACCCTGTAAGTCAGCCTCAGTCTTCTTTGCATGTGATTTGCTTACGATTAACTTACTTTTATGGTTTGTTAACATCTAAGATGTTTTTCTCTTAGAGTTTCTGACTTCCTATTTTGTCACATTTGGGCCTGGTTTGGACAACCATGTATGGCTTTGACTGTGACCAGTGCTGTTGAGGTGACCAAGCGGGTTGGATTTAAAATAAAAAAAGCTAAGGGGCGCCTGGGTGGCTCAGTCGGTTACGCGCCCAACTTGACTCAGGTCATGGTCTAGGTTGATGAGTTCTAGCCTTTCCTCGGGCTCTGTGCTGACAGCTCCGAGCCTGGAGCCTGCTGCAGATTCCGTGTCTCCCTTTCTCTCTGCCCCTCCCCTGCTCACACTCTGTCTCTGTCTCTCTCAAAAATAAACATTGAAGAAAAAGTAAAAATAGCTAATATTTATTGAGTGCTTGTGCTTTTGTGCACACTGTTTTACATTTATCTTATTCAGTCCTCCTTAGTAGTTCAGTGGCTTGTTTCCAGATACTTGACTGATTCCATTTTGCAGATGAGGAAATTGGAGCGCAACTGGTTAAAACTTGTCCAAGATCACAGAGCTTGAACACTACACTCTGAATTTGAACACAGGCCTAATCTCAGAGCCCATTCTCTCAAGTTCTTTATATACTACTTACCACTTGATGACATTTATGGTGCTTTTATTAGAGAATGCATACAACATATTAAAAGTCTAAAACTTTGAAAAGTAGCCGTAGGCCATGTATTACCTTGAAGTTTCCAGGAATTAGAAACATTTTGGTCATTGAACTGCAAACCTAGTGGGATTGTATATGAGCAAGGAGACCTCTGTTCTGGAAGTGTTCCTTTAATCTCTCTTCAGCCTACATTCTTGTTTAAAATGGTGATATTTTTTGACTTTTTTCCCAACCAAATGACAAAATTTAAGTAAAAAAACTTAAAGCTTATCCTATTCCTCCCCTCCTTTTTTTTTTTTTTTTTTTTTTTTTTTTTTTTTTTTAACTGGGGTATTCTTGACATGTAACATGATATTAGTTTCAGGTATATAACTTCATGGTTCAATATTTGTATGTATTCAGAAATGATCACCACAATAGGTCTAGTTAACATCAGTCACTATACATAGTTACAGTTTTCTTTTTTCCTTGTGATGAGAACTTTTAAGATTTATTTTCAGTAACTTTTAAATACGCAATACAGGGGCGCCTGGGTGGCGCAGTCGGTTAAGCGTCCGACTTCAGCCAGGTCACGATCTCGCGGTCCGTGAGTTCGAGCCCCGCGTCGGGCTCTGGGCTGATGGCTCGGAGCCTGGAGCCTGTTTCCGCTTCTGTGTCTCCCTCTCTCTCTGCCCCTCCCCCGTTCATGCTCTGTCTCTCTCTGTCCCCAAAATAAATAAACGTTGAAAAAAAAAATTAAAAAAAAAAAAATAAATACGCAATACAGTGTTATTGACTGTAGTCACCAAGCTTACAGAGCATCCCATGACCGACTTATTTCATACCTGGAAGTTACCCCTTTTGACTCTCTCCATCCATTCACCTGCCAACTCTGCTCTAATTTTTGATGGTTCACCTTGAAATAATTTCAGATTTACAAAAAAGTTACAAGAATAGAACAAAGACCTACCGTTTATGTAGAGTCATCACTTAAAATTTTTTTTTGCTACATTGCTTTATTTTTCTCTTTCTCCACATACATACACACATATACGTTAATATTTTGGTTTTTGATCCATTGAAAAATAGGTTGTATACATTCTGTCTCTTTACTCTTAATACTTTGGTATGTATTTAAGAACAATGATTTTTTTACATTTTTCATTGTTTTAAGGACAATATTTTTATATTGAGGAAATTTAATATCAGTACAGTCTGTAGTCTGTAATTGAATGTTGTCATTTGTCTCAATAATTTGTCTCAATAAATACTTTTTTTTTTTTTTAGTATTTTTTTTCTGTCTAGTACAGCATGATTGGATCCTGGATCCAATCCAGGGTCATGCACTTCATTTAGTTGTTGTATCTCTTTTAATCTCCTTTAAATCTGAAATAGTTCCTTAACCTTTGTCTTTCACTACTTTGGCACATTTGAAGAATACAAGCCAGTTATTTTACAGCATGTTAATCACTTTGGATTTGTTGGTGTTTCCTCATGTTTAGATTCGTGTTACGTACCTCTGGCTAGAAAACTCCCATAGTGATGTGGCGTTCTCAGACTTGCATCTGGAGGCAGAGTGTAAAAACGTTGTCCTCTATTTTTTTTCTCCAGTAGTCTTTCTATGGGGGGGATACTTTGAGATGTGCACATGTCTTGCTCCTTATTAAACCCACCATCTCCTAGATGCAGCTACCACTGATGAGTCTCCTGAGCCATTCTTTACTGCAATCGCAGCAAAGTGTTGATTTCCACCTCTCCCACTTCTTCTAATCTGTTCTTTGGCCTCTTGTCTTAAAGCTTTATGTGTCCTTTGATCCTTCACTAACCACCTCAGGGATGCCTGTCACTTCCTAGTGACAGAATTACTGATGATTTTTGTTTTCTGAATTTAATCTTATTTATCAATTTTTTGTGTGTGCCTTTCTTCCTTTAAAAAAAACCAGAATTGTGGACTTTTAGATCATTTTATAAAAGCAGATCCTGTACGTCATTTATTGGTTAATCAAGACTGTATAGTAGATTATTGGTTTCAAGATGTTCAGTTTTTCCATTTAAAATGTAAAGTTTTTTTTTTTTCTTTCTGTATTTCTTTCTTTTGGGATTGTTGTAAACTTTTATTGCTCTTAGTTTTTTTCCTAAATTATTTTCCTGCTTTATCTTAAAGAAGTTCTTCTTTTATCTTAGCCAGTTTGGCTGTGTGTGTACAATTAAAAATAATTTTTTGGGCTGCCTGGGTGGCTTAGTAGTCAAGTGTCTGACTCTTGGTATTAGCTCAGGTCATGATCTCATGGTTTGTGTGTTTGAGCCCCGTATTGGGGCTCTGTGGTGACAGTGCGGATCCTGCTTGGGATTCTCTCTCCATCTCTCTCTGCCCCTTCTCCCCGAAATAAATAAACTTAAAAAATAATTTTAATAATTTTATTTCTAGATTAAACAATTTCTAGAAAGAAACAGGAGACGTATTTTTCTTAACGATGGTAAAACTACTAAATTTCTGAATCTTCTTTGAGAGTATCATGGTGTATTAGAAAGAGCATTGGACCTGGAGTGAGAACTGGGTTTAAGTTCCTGTTTTCTGCTTGGAGTAATGTTTCCTTGTTCACTTTGCTTGATCTCTTCATTTTTTTTTTTTTTTTTAAAGTTTATTTATTGTTTTGAGAAAGAGAGCATAAGCAGGGGAGGGGCAGAGAGAGAGGGAGAGAGAATCCCAAGCAGGCTCCACACAGCACGGAGCCCAATGTGGGGCTCAAATTCACGAACTGTAAGATTGTGTGACCTGACCTGAAATCAAGAGTCCCACACTTAACCCATCTGAGCCACCCAGGTGCCCCTGCTTGATCTCTTGAAACTTCAGTATCCTCTTTTCTAGAAAGGTGATGATACTT